TTAAAAGCTTATCAGTTCGCTTATTTAGGTTCCTTAATACATACATTGAATTGTAATCACTAAACAATTAATTAACAAACAACATGCTAAAATAGAACAAAACAAACAAGATTTTCTTCCAGGTTACCTGTAATGGCATAAATCTTGAGATTCTGTTATTGCATTATTTTTTTTTTAGTTAATAATTCTAATTTAATCTAAATATGGCTTTATGTAGGGGGTCAGTGTTCCAGCTGCACTAGTCCTATGGATGTTCAAACCTCAGAGGTTCACAGGTTTCATTCCTGACAAGATGACTTCAGCTTGAATAATAATGATAATTAAAAGATGTGAATGCTAACTTAATTATTCCTGGACTTAACATTTGACATTCTCAATTTTTTTTCCCAAACTCTTAAATATTATATTTCTTACACTTTATACTAAATGTGTCAAATGTTTTGTTTTTTAATTCTCGTTCAGAGCTGGGCAGTTGTCAGTTGTATGATACAACTATATATCATATATAACTATATAATTAAATATTAGTAGAGTTCCTTACACACAGGCTAAACTTACAATTCCAATGCCGGGTGCACACTATGGCTTAAGATAGCCAGATAAATGTTGTAGTTAGTAGCACTTACGGTTTTGTAAAAATTCTTACTTTATTTTTCCAAGTTAAAAAACAACCAACGTTTCAGTCCAATCTATGGACTTTCTTCAGGATCAACACACCATATTTCAATACTCAGGTATTTTGGCATCTTGTCTACTGGACTAATACGGCTAATCCAATCTACTCTATATATATTCTTTCATTTGAGTTATACATACAGAGTCGGAACAGCTGTTGGCTTGTAGGCCAGGGACTAATGAAAGTATTTCGAAAATTGGGCAGACTAGATGGGCCAAATGGTTCTTATCTGCCATCACATTCTCTATGTACCATCAAATTATTTAGTTTTACCTGTTAGGGTATCATGTATAGATTTTTGTATTTGTTTGTATGGAAGTAAAATCATTTGTACACGTGAAAAAGGCAAATTAAAACTGACATACATGTTTTTGTTGATTGAATATGTGTATTTAAATGATGTCCTTAATGTAAATAAATTAATAAGTAAGTGTGTGTATGTGTGTGTAGACATAGATAGATATAGAAAATATACAGTGTGCTTTAAGCCTACTAATTTAATTAATATTGTGTTTATACAGAATTTTGTTATTAAGTAACTATTCAAAACGTATGCTTTTACTGTTCTGTCTGATTCAAGGGAAAGTTAGTCCCCTCTGGTGTTTAATTTTCCCCATAAGAAAACAGCCTCCAAGTAAAAAAGGAGATAGACTGTATTTGTATTATATCACAGATTTTAAATACTTTGTAGTCACCTTAACAAGAAAGAACTGCACTGCTAGAAAACACAAGTCTAATAAAGGCCACTGGCAGAAAATTGGACATTCCCTAATCCCTTCCACCTATACTATAAATAAAATCTAGATTTAGATTATCTCCAGGACACCCACGGAATCCACTATGAGAGCAACTGCACTTTTATGTAGACACATGCCATATATCATCACTACAAACAAATGGCTGTCCCTAGGATTGCTATTATCAAGTTAGCTGCTGAGTGACTCCTGGGCTGTCTCTTGCCTTGTCATGTGTGGTGGGTGGGGGAAGTGAATAAGTGACAGTACTAAAGCCCTTGGCAACGTACTTATTGCCTTTTTTTTGCAGGGGGTCCAGGCGATCCCCAACACCCTAGTCATATTGCATACACAAAATTAACTGTCCCTCCTTAAGTCCTCTTTAAAAAAATCATTATTACCATATGTACATTGCTCTTTATCTGCAGTTATGAGGAACTGGGTATGAGGGTCTACACAACATTAAGGAGCAGCGGAGGGCATGCTTGGTGGTATTATAAAACATTTTTTTTCTCATAGTGCTGATCATCAAACTGGCAAACAGTGTTAGTATCGTGCCAACCTACCTGGGTTACCCAGGCACCAGTGCCCCAGAAGAAGCCAAATGTCTCTCTTGAATAAAGCACTTATTGGCACTATTTGACCCTCTCAGCCAATGCTGAAAATAACACGTTTACCTCAGTAGAACTAACTGGATTCTCCCATAAAAAATAATCAGAAGCAGGGATATTGACCATGGATGCCAAGCTGGACAACCAAATAAGTACTAAAATGGTTTAAAAATTAGACTGGGAGAGAACCAGGAAAATCCTGTCACCATACCCACTATAGCATGTTGTAGAGGTTATGGTACTTTTAGTTTTTCTTTAATACATTATGTCTTACATGGTTGGTGTTGGTAACATAGATTATAGTCTGTCACCATTGTTCTTGGAGCCTGTCTGTGCTGCGAAGTCTGAAATGCCTGGCATAGTGAAACACGTTGGGAGGAATAATGGGAAGGGATAGAGCAATGGGTAGAAATAGGATTAAATTTAATGTTTGATGAAAATAAAAGATAGGTTGCAGACGATAGAGTACAGGTATGGGGTAAGAGGGAGAAAATCTGAGCCAGTGAAGTGGAAACAAATATTAGAAAGTGATAGTTAAAGGGAGATGGAAAGGAGAGGGGAGATGGAATCGTGACTGTGAAATAAGTAGAGAGGGCCTTGAGGTAAATCCGAAAAATGAGGTGAAGAATAGACAAGTGGTAACTAGGAGAGCACCAGCCCAAAATCTGTTAAATTTCATTGGAAATAGTCACCTCTCATAGTATATCAATTTTTAGTTCACTCTTGGCATGCCATATATAGAGGAAGTAAAATTATCCGTAATGTTCTGGGATGCTATCACTTCTCTCCATTGAAAAGATGGTTTCTGTCTATTTACCAAAGTTTTTTTCTTTTATAACAGAAGTGCGTGTTATTTTACATTACATAGAACTGTGAGAAAATATCATAAATGTTTTAGGATACATGATATTTTTGTTCTCGCAGATCACACGCGATCATCTAGAATGTGAAGTGCTCATTTGTAAGCCTGTGGCCAGTGATTGAAACACTTTTTCAGTTGTAGGTGCTAGAAAAACAGTTTTTAATTATTTTACACAACAGTGTCTGCTTTAGCTGCTGAACAGTTAAGAGACAAGTACCCGTGAAGATCTTCTCAATTCCTGCAATAATCAAAGCTTATTTTAATTTGAAATTTACCAAGTAAAAATCTTTTACTGAATTAAAAAAAAAAAAAAAAAAAAGACACGGTTCTCTCACTACAAGAAGCACAGATCTGCTTTTAGATTGAAGGCACAGGGAAGGTGGCAAGAATCTTAAAATTTAATTTTATGTGCATTGCAAGTATATATGTGCTTTCTATTAAAGCAGAAAATACTATTTTTAAACTTTAGTGGCTCTTTATCTTGCTTTCTGCATTCCTTTGAGTCATTTTCTAGCGCTTCCTGTATGACTGCTAATTGTCATTACGTTGAAAGCAGCTGAAGAACATACCATTCTCTCTGTGTCCTAACACGTGACTGGAGGCCACAATCTATGCACTGGGCAGACTTTGAACTCTAACTTAAATTTTAACACATTTATTGGATTCGAAAATATACATGCTAGTCTTTTTCATTTGCAGGCTGAGTGCACTTTTATTTGACAGATTGCTCGATAAATAATATCGAGATAACACGAACATCGTAGAGTTGTATGTTGAAAGGCAAATTCTATTTTCGAACTTTACCGGGTGTTACTAAAAGCAAAGGTGGGAAGATGATAGTTGTTCTCATTCTTTCCCCTCATGCTCATTTAAAGTGTGTGGTAGGAAAGGTAGGGCATATTTAATAACAAATTTGTGATTTTCTCAAATGTTATCTTGAATGGAGTTTTTTTATTTTTTTATTTATTTATTCAGCCAAACATTATTACAAGATTGGACCAATTAAGTTTTCTGGCTAATGTTATTTTTACATTAATTGTTTTAGTAGGAAATAACTAAGAATGTTTATACAAGTGTTGTTAATTAAAAAGTGGAGCTATCACCTTGGAAACAAAGGAACACTAAGATCCTGATGAATGTGTCAAGCTGACTACTCTACATCAGTCATGACTAGTGCAGGTACTGATTCCGAATGAAGTAGTTGGATACTTTTTCTATTGAAATTAACATCTCCCTTTGTCATATGTAAATAGAGATATGAAGTGGTGGATTTCTAAGCAAATCAGTTCAATAACTGGATCGAAATATACTGCCGTGAGCTTTGACCTAGATAGCAAGAGCTATTGCATAACAGTTCAATGTAAAAAAAGAAATTCTACCCTTTTTCTACCTTTTGGTTTTAATTGACAGGACATGTGGACACACATGATTGGGATTGTATTGATATTTTACAAAAAAATTATTGAGAATAATGGGAAAGTGAGGTAAGAATGTTGCGATAACTGCAAGAAATATGCATTAAGTTAAAAATCATCAATTATAGAACGTCAGATATTGGTTTTTATATGGACCGTAACATCTGGATTTATTGTTCAGTTCAAATCTATCCCATTTATTATAAAAGTTGGTAATTCCTAGTCTTCTTCAATTAGACTATATTGCAGAGGTGAGCAAAGTTATTCTTTTAGGTCATGCATACAGTTGCGCTTAAAAGTTTGCTTAACCTGTCAGAAATTGTGATATTTTGGGACTTATTTTGAAAATATGACTGATCATGCAAAAAAAAGGATTTTATTGTAGGATAGTTATCATATAGAACCATTTATTATAACATAGATGTTTGGCTCCTTTTTAAACCATAATGATAACAGAAATCACCCAAATGGCCATGAACAAAAGTTTTCATACCCTTGATTGTTTGGCCTTGTTACAGACACACAAGGTGACACACACAGGTTAAAATGGCAATTAAATGTTACCTGTGGCTTTTTAAATTAAAATTAGTGTCTGTGTATAAATAGTGAATGAGTTTGTTAGCTCTCACTTGGATGCACTGAGCAGGCTAGATACTAAGCCACGGGGAGCAGAAAAGAACTGTCAAAAAACCTGCGTAACAAGTTAATAGAACTTTTATAAAGATGGAAAAGGATATAAAAAGATACCCAAAGCCTTGAAAATGCCTGTCAGTACTGTTTAATCACTTATTAAGATGGGGAAAATTCATGGATCTCTTGATACCAGCCAAGGTCTGGTAGACCAAGAACGATTTCAGCCAAAACTGCCAGAAGAATTGTTCGGGATACAAAGAAAACCCCACAGGTAGCCATTGTCATTGTTCTGCTCAGAAAAATACAAATTAAACCACCCACCCTTTAATACCCACAAATTGATTCCATTGAGGGTCTGAGAAGGAGCCAAGCCGATCCCCTATAAAATAGACAAGCTGATTGCTCATAACCATATTTTCTAAATAAAATAATAATACCTTTAGATGCATAGGTAATTCCATTTTTATGTTTTCCTGGCAGGACAGCCCACACAAGTAAACTGTAAAAGAAAACAAATGATTGAGAAATGCAGGCTGCTCTGGAAAAAGACAGAGTGGTTGTTTCAAGTTGAAAAATACGATGATACTTGAACAAAAATGAGCTCCATGGTCGAGTTGCCAGAAGGAAGTTCTGAGCCAATGCCACAAAAAAGTCCAGTTACAATATGTCCGAGAACACCTTGACACGCCTCACAGCTTCTCGCACAATGTAATTTGGAGGGACAAGAAATAGATCTTTATTTTCACAACCATAAGCGCTATGTTTGGAGAGGGGTCAACAAGGCCTATAGTGAAAAGAATACCATCCCCACTGTGAAGCATGGTGATGGCTCACTGATGTTTTGGGGGTGTGTGAGCTCTAAAGGCACAGGGAATTTTGTAAAAATTGATGGAAAGATGAATGCAGCATGTTATCATAAAATACTGCAGACAATTTGCATTCTTCTTTAAAAATGGTACATATTTTACCAATTCTCCAAGGGTATGCAAACATTTGAGCACAACTGTATATAGTGATATCTGTTCTACTACTAAATGTAGATTGGATTAAGATATTTTTATGGCAACCATGCAACCTTCAGCACTCTATATGTTGTGGACTACATCTCCCATAATGCTCTTAAATCCATAATGCTGGCAAAGACACACATACACACTCATACAGCCAAACATACACGGACACACACAGTCATACAGACACACATACACACACTCTCAAACAGACACACAGTCATACAGACAAACATACACATACCCATATAGAGGCACATACATACACTCATATAGACACATAGTCATACAGGCACACATACAGACACTCATAGGCATGCACACTATAATATAGACACATAGTTATACAGATACACATACACACACTCACACAGACACATAGCCATACACACATACACTCATACACAGGGCCGCCATCAGAAGTTTTGGGGCCCCTAATACAGCTCAGGGTCTGGGCCACCAGGACCGCCTCCAAATCTCACCCACAGAAATACACACACACTGATACAAAGGGACACAGATACACACACACACACACACAAAGATTTCAGCCACCATCCTGTTTCTTACCTTTTCATTGCAGGAGGGTGGCTGGGGCTAATGGAAGTCGGTGTGGGCTCTCCCTCTTCATGGCCTGTCTGTCTCTCCTCCCCCACAAAGTGAGCTGGGAGGAAGTGACCATCCGTCACTTCCTCCCAGCACCACTTGCAGCTGACATTTTTTTAAAAGGGCCCGGTCGCGCTTTTACGCGGCCGCAGCGCTGACCGGGCCCCTGAAGATATGGGGCCCATTCGGTGGCCCTAAATGCTTGAGCCACCCGATGGGCCCCATCAGCATGTGGGCCCTGGTGCAGCTGTCCCCCAGGACCGCCGGACCAGTGACAACCATCATGGATGTCACCCTCTGATGGCGGCCATGCTCATACAGACACATAGCCATACACACATACAGACAAACATACACATACTCATACACTGTAATTTAGACACTTCGTTAGACACTTCTATACACAACCATATAGACACACATACAAACAATCATACAGACACACATACCTATATAGAGACACATACATACACTCGTACAGACACATAGTCATACAGGCACATATACAGACACTCATATAGAGACACATGCAAACACTCATATAGACACATAGTTATACAGATACACATACACACACTAATACAGTCATAAAGGCATACAAATAGACACTTATACAAACACACATACACACTCATATACACAGTCATAAAGACACACAAGGTGGCTTAATGAAATGCTGTGCTATGTATTACCAGCACATCTATATAAAATGCGGTAGGCCTATCATTTACTTGCTGGAAGGGCCTTATCTCTACTGTCTGGTGGCATGAGAGAGCTACGAGGAGCAGCTTGCATAAGTTCTACATGCAGCTCCCTCACTGCTGACTGTGAGGCACCCACAGTTGTCTGTAG